CATATCATGACATAGGCATATATGCAAGTACTTACTGGATCGACAAAAATGATACGATGATAATCATTTTATTGATCACGAATTAAACATACCTCCCGTAAATACAAAAATAAGTAACTAACTATCTATAGCTACTACTTAATTGGTTGTCTATAACTCCTGCTTAACTGACTGGCTATAATTGTTGCTCGACTGACTGACTATAACTGTTGCTTGGCTGACTGACTACAGCTGTTGCTCGACTGACTGATCATAACTGTTGCTCGACTGACTGACTACAACTGTTGCTCGACTGACTGACTATACTTGTTGCTCGACTGACTGACTATAATTGTTGCTCGACTGACTAACTATAATTGTTGCTCGACTGACTGACTATAATTGTTGCTCGACTGACTGACTATAACTGCATCCCTGCGAACTAAATATACTTCAAATGGGATAAGCACATCACAACCTAAGAATACATCTAATAAGATAAAACACATTACAACCTAAGCATGCATCTAAAACACATCACAAGGCGCATAAATAAGTAAACTGTCTTTAATTGTTGTTCAAATTATTTTCTATAACTGATGCTCAACTGACTGTCTATAACTGATGCTCAACTGACTGTCTATAACTGCAGCTTAACTGATTGTCTATAACTGTTGCTCAACTGACTGTCTATAATTGTTGCTTAACTAACTGTCTATAACTGCTGCTTAATTGACGAGAAGGACACTTGGCGTTCACGCTTGCGATAAGCAACTGTAGGACCTAACATGTAGTTCGTTAATCATACTAGGACAAAACTAACTCTTATGCACTTATAAAGTTGAAGCTTAACTCACAACTGCATTAGAGTCCTTGATACTAACTAGAGTTTGAAACACTTGGTTATAATGATACATATCTCTAGGTCAACGCCCCGTAGGAAAGAACTATTCTAACCTCATCTGAAATTTCAACTTAACTCAAAGTTGTTCTAAGGTTTTTAATTCACTGGACTCAAAGTTGCACTAGAATTCTTATCTCATCTTAACTAGCGTTCGGTTCACTTAGCTAGAAATGAACTACTCGCTAGGTGATTACCACTATTTGTGCAAACTAACTCTTACATACATGTCTCAGCCAGGATATTGCGATTATATAAATATAGTACCCAGTAGAAGATCCCCACCTGATATATTGAAGTGCAAGTGTTGAACGGATTGTAACTGGAGACTTGACTCCCCACAAGCTACAAAATATACAAGCACAATAAAAAATAGGAAGAGTAGCTTCTTTTGCAAATTAGAACACGAACAATACAAATATTTCGTTTTTTTTTAAAACTAGTACAGTTCCCGTGCGATGCACGGGGGTTTATTATCCCCGTCCCTTTTGAAAAGCATTTTTCTGTTAAAATTCAAAGTACTTAATAAAGGAAAGATCATGTCATTAATAATTAATAAATTAATAAATATAATGAAAATAAAATCTATATATTATTGAACATTTCCTCATATACAAATCCTTATAAAATTCAACACATAATAATAATAATA